GGATTTTATTAAGCTGTGGTTCTTTTTGCCTTACCTGTAGTGGAAAGATGTATCACTAAGTTCATGTATACATACATAAACAACTAAGAATCATTATGTATGTAGTCATATACATACTTTTTTTTGGAGTGGTGGAAGCTAGCAGTTTGTCAGAAGTGAGTGGGCTAAAATAAGTTTACCTTATTAGAACAATGGAAACTAAAACAATTGTTAGGTTTTCAAACCACTATAAGAACTGGGAAGCACAGGAAAACTCCATCTTGGATGCAGCTCTACAAAAATCTGTGACAAAATCGGAAAGTTATTTTCGGCCTGGAATAACCAGAGTGTGGAGAGTCATCCAAATTTCTTTTTCAGTTTTACTTAGTTTATGTTCCGTTTTCTGTCAGGGTCAACTTACTGCCATCCTTCCTAATAAAGTCTAACATGTACATGCCTTGACTTGTTGGGTTATCAGTTTTTTATTGTACCATGGAGGTTTTATGAACATATCGGTCAGAGTGACAGGAACAGTTTGCCATGTACTATTGAGAGAACATACATATCCAGCAATAGTTTTGGGCCATGTCCTCTACAGACTGATATTTCCCCCAAATTGGCTTCCAATAAGCGTTAAGTTTGCCTTAAATGACTTCCTGTTGTCTTAAGCTTGCTTAGACAGAAGCGTTTCACAGGATCAACTGTTATATCTGGACATGACACATTTCCAGTCTTGCTTGAGTAAAATTTTAGCTCATTTTTTCCACAATGACCAAGCATGGGAGCATTTAGGCAGTTAGTTTCCTGCTTTTGTATTCGCTACGTGTTGTCATGCATCCCCACTCTTCCTATCTTTTCAACAAATTTTGCTCTTCAGGGGTTTTCTTATATGTATAATGTTTTGCAACACTGGTGTTAGGGAAATGTTCATCCTGAATTTTCTCAATTTGCTCAATGTTGAATTATCTTGCTGTCACAAGAGGGCAGTAGATGCTCAAGCTAAATAATTCAAATCATGTGTCTATCCAAGAAGTGACAGCAAATGTTCCTTTCTGTGGACTACTGCCTAGGAAAAATTATCTTCTCTCTTCTTTTTGCACACATGTTTGTATTTCTACCCACAGTAAGACTTCGCATAGACTTCCGTTAATTTTAATATCTGCATTTATGCCTAAACCAGACATTTACCCCAACTCTTAACTATTACTAGTCTATTCTTAACCAAAATGCAATTCACATCTTACCTCTAAAACTAAGCCCTACCCTAAACAAGTGGGTCCATCACATCAGGACCTTTGGTCACAATAAGGCCCATTGGTCTTCAGGAGGTTAGTCATAAGAAGAATATCTAAATAACCAAACACACAGTATGTTTTGCTACCTTCACAAGGACTTTGCATTGACTTAAATTCATTTGTCATTCATTTCTAAGGCCGAAACCAAACCCTAATCTTATCAATCAAGTTTATTTGTATAGCACATTTCAGCAGAAAGTCAGTTTAAAGTGCTTTATACGACGAAAACACAAAAGCACTAAGTTATAAAGAAAACACCACGCAGTTAACAACTGAACAAAAATTCCATTTTGATGAGCGCCATAACCAAAATCATACACAAAAATGTTGGTCAATGTTTCATTTACTATGGTTAAAAAGCAACCCTAAACAGGTAGGTTTTTAGTCTTGTTTCAGCTGTTTTGCAGATTTCTGGATGTTTGTTCCAGTTTTGTGGTCCTTAAAGCTGAATGCTCCTTCTCCATGGTTGGTTATGGTTCTGGGAATGCAGAGCAGACTAGAACCAGAAGACCTGAGTGATGTGAAAGGTTGCTACAACAGCAGATCTCTAACGTACTTTGTTAGAGATTTGTTGAGTGATTTGCAGATCAACAGTATTTTAAAGTCAATTCTCTGAGCTGACCTAACCTTGCTCAATTCAACCCCAAAACACCATTTCTTGTGAGACCAGGTTTTGGGCTTGATAAGGAGCAGTCGGTCCCCACAATGTAGCATTTGCGAGAAAAAAATGGTCCTTACAAGGTAAGAAACACATACACTTGGTGAACTCATGGAGTATTCCAAGACTGATTCTTAAAAACAGATGCTTGGAAACAGCTGAGGCCAAATCCCAAAGGACGGGGCTTTTAAAATACCTGATTGTGATTTTTTTTTTTTTTTATGATTTACATATTTGCCAGTGAAGGTGATCACTCCTCAGTCAGCAAACACCCCAAAGTGGAAGAGGCCTTTGGATTAGTATCATCCATGACTTCATTCAAACTGTATTTGTTTCTGGGCATCTTTGTTTCCTGAGCTTTTTCCCCACTAGCATTATGACCCCTTCTGTTCTCTCTCCATATAAGGAATTTGCTGATCTTCTCAGGTCTTTTCCTTCTTTTCTCTTCCTTTTTTTGTTCCCCATCAAACCCCAGCTATATGCATTTAATCTGACTGACCCAGACTTAAGGAAATTTCTACTAAGTCTGCTATAGAGTGCCAAGAATTCTGCAATTTTTGTTTGAATGACAAAATATAAAAATCTTTTTTTTTTTTGTATCCCATGATACAGTTGTCAGATATAGTATGGGGGAAACAAACTAGATCTGACAGTTCCAGGGTAGAGTTGACACCAAAGATGCAACTTAAAGAATTTTTCTTGACAAGAATCAAGTGCAAAACTCTAATTTTGTTATAAATTTTTACTAATCAATACAGTCTTTAGCAAGGCAAACTACCTGTAGCCATAACAAGGTCTTGGCATAATACCAGCAGGATATATGATCTTATCAGGAATTAAAATGGTTTCCTGACATAGACCTCCCTTTTTAACAGTAACTCCTGTATTTTCTGTCGGATTCAGGTTGGAGTTATTCCAGACAGGAAAAGTTAGCTTTGCTTCAAGCTAATTTTGAGGTCTGGAATTTACATCCCATTGGAACAGTTGTTTAAAATAAGTTTTTTGTGCAATCCAATAGTAACACTGGGAACAAAATTGATCTTCAGCATGATACCACCTCCATCCTTGACATTTGTTTTAGTGTTCCCAGGTTTCAAGACTGAAAATTGAGGACTTCAAGGACATTACCTTGTTTGTAAATGCAAATAGTCACACCTGAAGGCTTCGGATCTGGAAATTATTTCAGAGTGGCACCTTCTCAGTCCATGGTGATGTTAACCCCACCGTACTTTGGACATGGACAATATATTCCAGTTCAAGTTTCATCCTTAATGTTTTCTGATCCTTTTCAAACCACTTTGTTCTGACGGATTTGGTCAGATAGTTGAAGTCTGAAAAAGCTTAAGGGCTTGACGGACGGGAATTAACATCCCTCCCTCTCCATTTATTTCCTATGTTATAATTGCTTGCTCCTCTCCAGCCAAGCAACAGGCGAAATTTGTGCATGTGAAATTTCAAGCTCATACATGTAGATGTACACATGCAATGCAACAAGAAAGTTGAAAATGTTAAACTTTTGTTGCTGCCCCCATTGCCATTATTGCATCCCGTGTATTGGGTTCAAACTTTCACCTTTTGCTGTTAGTCGTCATTCCCTCTGTGTTGAGCCTATTCAGTGTTCCGACAAAATAATGATCCCAAACACACATCAAAACTGGTTTTGGAATGTATAAAGTTAGCCTGACCATTGCCGTCCTTGGTAATTGTGCCCGATTCTCATCTCCCTTCAGTGCTCTGTCTGGGCTTTCTCCCAATGAGCTGGATTTTTTCCAGTGGAAGTGGAGGATGGTCGTTTATACCCCAGACAATGTTTGGTAAGCTTCATAGCATTGAACTGACACATTTCATATATCAAGGCCAAATGTTAGCCATTAGGTAGAATTTCAAACTTCAACAAAGTCCACACCTCTAGGAAACAATCATTTCTCTATACAGAAGGGAGCCCATACTCTCTGTACAAATTAATGAGCGTTGTTATCAGGCTTGGATAAAGTGGGTTTCCACTAAGTTTTCTGGCATGCTCTGACCACAACCCTATTTGAAACTCATGGAGTTTGTTTTAAAGTTAAGACGCTTAGCCCGGACACCAATCAAATGACCTCTTTCATTCTTGATAAGAGTGGTAACACATCCAGCCAGGGTGACGCAAGAGACTCATTCACAACTACATGTTGTTCATGACGTTGCTTCCCATGGAATATCATGAGGAACATTGTCTTAAGTTTTGTTTAAGGGTTTATTTTTATATTTAAAGCTGCGTCTACCACCATGTGTAAGTTGGAGAAAATCTTTTTAAAACTGGCAGGAGATGATTAGAAGGAGTTAATTTCATGGCAAGTAAAACCAGGAGGGGGCTTGTTGTAAACACCGTCTGCAGCCTGAGCTCATGTCTGAAACCGAAATGCACAGAAAAATGAGGGATTGAAGGAAAGCGAAATAAGTGTGTCAACCAAAGGATGGCCCAGTGTATGGATACAAGATGCAATGTAAAGGGGATATGATGGGCTGACTTTAGGTGAGCGTGCCTTGGTGTTTAGTCTGAACGCAGTAAAGAAAGGCATGGGGGGGGGGGGGCACTGAGCGAAAGGAAAACAACAGGGGAGAAACAGGGGAGATGTAGAAAGTCAATCCAAAGTTATGAGAAAAAGGAGGAGGATTTTGGAGGATCATCAAGAATTTGCCTTTTAAGGGGTACAGTCTCCTACTTCCAAGCCTTACAAGCTCTTGCGTACTAGCCAAAACACTCGAGGGAAAAGCAATAAACAACAGAAAAGAGCTTGTGAGGAGCAAAAACAATTTTCACCCTTAAGTAATTTTAATGAACATGCCTACCTTTTCAAAAAAAAAAAAAGAAAAAGTCAAAGGCACACATGGCATCCCCATCTCATAACATGTACATTATTTCGCTGAATAGGTGGGTAATCTTTGGGACAAGAAAGTCATTTTCTGTCTGCAACAAAGAGACCACTGCAGGGTAAACAAGAGAGGCCCTCAGTCCACCCTGAGTCACTGGATCCTCCCGCAGCATCCCAACAGCTGCCGAGTTTTTCTTGGTCGTCCCCCGCACAATACCAACAATGTGTTGTTGCTGGGGCTAAGGAGTGACTGCCTGTATCTGGGAGCAGGAAACGGAGGGGAGCTGAGGAGGAGAGATGGGTGGGGAGGTAAGAACAGAGAAGTAATTGTATATGTAAGAGTGAGGCAACCGTAGCAGAAGGGGCAGACGCAGGAGGAGAGCGAGACGGAGGGGGGAAAAGGAGAGACGCATGTTGTCTTCGGGATGGGGGCACCGGGAAAGGAGACGGAGATGAAGGAAGCGCAGGATGAGGACATGAATCTGAGTTTTGATGCTTTGAAAGAGGAACCAGGGATGTAGGGAGAAAAGGAGGGGGCCAATCAACAAAAGTCGTGTTTTACAATACAAAGTTGGGGGATTCTTGAGGTAGCAAGCAGCGAGGTGTTTTTAAAAGAGCGTGTTTTGATAAAAGTTGTAGAGAAGGGCAGAGAAAGTGTATACTTCAGAACGAGAGCCAGGAAAAGGGGAAGGGCCTCGGTCTCCTCCTCTCCAGCTGACAAAAACAGCTGCCCAGGAGAACGGAGGTGGAGAAGACGACTCACAGGGTGAACGGACGGAGAGAAGAGACCCGACCACCTATATGGGTTGTGTCCTGAGCTCAGATTGGTGTGGGGAAGGAGAGGTGCAACCGGTGCCGGTGGTCCAAAGTTCGTCTCTGAAGAGAAGGAGTCTGGAGAGGAGTGACAGCAGTAGGATGAGGCTCGCTAAGGTTGGTACATGTGAACTAGGCGTGTGTGTGTGTGTGTGTGTGTGGGATGAGACTTTATTTAGATCTTCACAGGGCTGTTTATGTTTTGCACCATAAGGCCTCACATGCTACAGTACTTTTGAGATTTGCTTACACTCTGACTTTAGACTTGAAAAAGCATGTTATTTCTACCATTTGTAGCACATGGCTGAGGAATCCTGAGGATATTGTGTAGATATTGTCAAAATCTCTGGGATTGTTATTGCTCAATATATGACTGCAGTTGTATGGTTCTGTATCTGTTATTAGGATCATCTTGAAGGTTTATATTTTAGGGCTAATACTGTGATGTATCCAGTTTCTGTCCACAAGTTTGTTTTCTGGTTGTAATTTCTTCTGTTTTTGTCTCACACCTGGTTCTCATTTATTTATTTTGCACCTGAAATAAATAACTCTCTCACACTTGGCATTAGGGATGTGCAATATGGCATAGAATTCATATCACTATATATATTATAATGGGTAGCGGTAACAATGTGTATCACAATACGATTTGTATATACCGTATATTCTGGACGATAAAGCGCACCTTACTATAAGCCGCACCTACAACTTTTTTTGAAAAAAAAAACAAAAAACAAAAAACTGGAAACACACATATTAGCTGCACCAGGCTATAAGCTGGTATCTCTGGTTTTCCACAAGGACACAGCAGAGGGCTGCATCCTTAATAAATCTGCTATTAAGGACGCAGGACGCAGCCCTGTGTCTTCAACGCCGAACTATGGATTTGTTCACACCGAGCTTACGTGCAGTGGCTCTATTTCCCTCCTGTACTGCCAGATCGATACTCCTCAGCTTAAAAGCTGCATCTTTTTCTTCATGTTGTTTCCATGAGGGGGTATGAGTTTGAAGACATTTTTCCATCGTGCTTGCTGCTAGCTGTGCTTGCTGTTCTAAATGAAAATTAGCACTTTCTTCTTTTATTTACAATTTTGTACTTCCAATCATTCATTTCCTGCTAAAGAGCCCCCTGGTGGTTGAAGAAAAATCAGCAGAAAAGCCGCTCCTGGCTATAAGCCGCATGGTTCAAAGTGTGGGAAAAAAGTAGCAGCTTATAGTCTGAAAAATACTGTATCTTACAATAGAAAGGGAAACAAAATCCCATACTAATTGAGAGTAATGAATATATTTGTATTAACACTCATTTTCATCGATGTTATTTGTTTGTAACTTTTGTTTTATGCTGCTTCCCATCATTACCAAGTCTTCCTTAAAAAGAAATAAAATTTTAAGTGAGACCTGGCAATCTTGGGCAGCAGCATAACAATGATGAAGTGGTTTAATAAAAGTTAAATAAAGAAATAAAAAAATCGATCTCTATATAGAACACAATAACCTTAATGTAATGGATGTCTACATTAAATCCTGCTTTTTATTCCCGGTATTGTGACTGGAACTTGTAGTTAGCAGCATTGCTAACTACATATGTCGTTTTAAGGTGGTAAAGCAAATTGCTTGTATTTTCTCTCTTTCACACACTTTGCAAATTAAATTATACTGCTCCTGGTCTGACTGTTTTACCCTCCTGTGGTCTAATCTTGTGCATGTCCCGGCAGAGAATGCACCAATCCTGTGTGTGTTTTTACAAATCGCTTCCCCGCTGTCTGACCGTGGCATATGCAGAACTCCTCCTGAGCATTGTGCTAAGACTGCGGGAGTTAAACACGAACCAGGTCCAGATAATTGATGTTTTCGCATCTGCCTTTTTAATGTGCTCTTCCCTTGTACTCTCAGCCATGCTGCTTCCTGCATGCTCTGTTTTGATTCCAGATGGCTACGTCATCAACAAACATTACCGCGGTTAGCCAGTAGACTGCAGATCTCTATCGTAGGCCAAATTTCGTTTCTACTGTATTCCTACTTGACATTATTTTGATAATCATCTCCCACCTGATACTAGTTCAAGGTGTTCTCTGTTATGCTGTTCGATACTAAAAATTGTTTCATTTGGTTCTAAACAGTCTATTTTTTTTTTAATTTAACCTTTATTTATGCGGGGTTGTCTCATTGAGATCTACGATCACATTTACAAGACAGAGACATGTTTGATAAAAACAAAATATTACAAACACAGCAACAGAAAAAGTAATTAAAGGATTTGACTCAATTAAATGAGTTAATAAAATATGAGCTAAAAATGCCAATGATCTCATATCTAGTCCTATTTTAGCCTATGTCCCACCTGGTTTGAGTTCACTAATCATCTCACATCTGGTTGTAGATTAGTAATTATCTTTTAAAGTATTCTTCAGTTTTACTTGCCATGTCTCATCTGGTTTTAGTTTGCTAATGAGCTCTAACTGGATTTCAATTCACTAATCATCTCACACCAGGCTGTAGTCTTCGCTCCTGCTTTGTAATCTTTAAAAGGGGCAATATTAAGTATTTTTCATGCACATTGTATCATTTTATAGCATAATCAAGAAACAGTTAGCTGCAGTTGTTGTAAAAATGCTGTATATGCCAAACACTACTTAATTTAAAAAGAAATTTGACTTTGCAATTTGCTGTCTTGAATTAGGGCCTCTTTAAGGAGATCCTACTCTTGCTCTTTGATACACTGCAGCTAGCAGAGCTTGTTGTGGATGCTCAAACTAGATACCTAGTCCACTGATGACGGCGGATAAACTGTTTCTCTGTCACTGCAAGTTGTTTCTTCACCATTAGCACATTTAGCACAAAGTATATGATGTTGATTGACAACACTAAGACCCAGCTCCTGGCTCTGATTGGTTATTTTTAACCAGAAGTCTCGCTTTTCTTCAGTCAGCAATAGCAGCTCATGGAGTAAGTGGAGGAGATTGATCTGTTCACAGATCATCTCACACTACACTGTCACAACATTGTGACAGCTTTAACAAATATGTAATTTTTTTTTTTTTTATAAAAGTTACATACTGTAGCTTTAATGTGCTGGTGGTGTTCTTCCCACCTTTGACCCGATTGTTTTTGCAATAGACTGCAGACCTCCTCTGCAACCTCAAACTATATAGAGAAGGAAAACTAAACTATAAATTGAAAGATTTGAGTACAGGAAAGGATTAGATTCCAAAATACAAAATTCCCTTTCCAAGTAATGTGAGAATGTATTTTCTTTGTTTAAAACATGTGGATAATCATGGCATCATAGCACATCTGCGCAGCTACAATGGCTCTGTTGTGGCGACCATAGCGATGCCGCGAAGCTATCGTCATGTAAACACAGGCAGGCCGGCCGCCTGCCCTGGAGCCACCAGAAGAACACTCAGAACCCCGACCTCTGACCCACAGTCACAATGCTCTGGAGCGTGGCTCCATTTCATCGTGTTCTATGAACATTCTACATGTATGGGAGTGTGTGCCTGTGTGTGTATTTGGTCCCAGTGGCTCTGTATCACATGCAGAGCAGCGTGGGAATGTGAAGCTTTCTGGACTACGTCATCCTGTGGTGACTGACCCGGACAACTAGGGGTGTGGGAACTGGTCGGATCCAAATTATCCTGAGCAAGAGGAGACAAACATGTATCTATTTATGGTCGTTTTTCTAACGATACAATCTTTTAAAGTCATAATTTGTTGATGTTTTCGAAGACGCGTGAGGCATATTGCTGCTCAGAAACGTGAACTTGATGATTTGTTTGTATTTTTCTGGCATGAACCACATGTATATATTTGTAGACCAAACCAAGATCTTTCTGGACTAACAAGAAAAAAAAAAACATTTCTCAACATGATTGCATAAAGAACTGAAGACATGGCAACAATATTGGGAAAGAGACGCTTCTCAGAATATAAATAGGTTCCTCACATTAAATTCTTATTTATTTTTACAAGGCCTCAGGAAGAAATAATTAAAGATCCAGTGACTAGTAGTATCAGAAAACTCATAATGGGATTCTTTTCAACAATTACCCTTCCTTATGCCAGGACTCTTGCGTAGCAGAGTGTCAGTAAAAAAAAATAAAACATTTTTACAGCTGGATTCTGGATCAGAACACCACATGGCAGCAAGAGTCAATACCTTTAAAGGGGCAGTATTCTGTAAAAGCGACTTTTGGAGCTTTACAGCTTGTAATAATATCATTCTGTCACCAAAAACATACCAAGAGTATCATCTTGATTCCTTGGGGGACCTAGCTCCACCTTTGAGTATGACATTCCTCCTTGGAGCTGCAATTTCCAAGTTTCAAAGCTTCCGACTCACACAGCAGCTCTCCGCCATGTCTCCCTCACTCAGCTCCTTCAGACTAGTCAGAAGTAATTAGCTAACATCTGGTGGAACTGCACACTATCTGAGCTCATTATGTGGTATAATCAGTGAAAAATGTTGTGAAAGGGTTAATAAAGGAGTGATGTTGTGATGACTTCCTGAAGGCAGAGTTACAGAGGTATCAGTTTTGAAAGAAACAGAGGCCCAATTTCAGGGAGTAAAATTAGGAAGTAAAATGTATTTTAAGCCATATTTGATACATACAGCAACTGAAGGTAACAGTTTCTTGATTGTGCTATAAAATGACACAATGTGCCTGGACAACATATAACATTGCCCCTTTAAAAAAATAAATAAATAAGGTCCACATGCTCTGCTCAGGTGATTGAGTCATAGATCAGAGGGGATACATGTTCGGGTCTAAATGTTTTGAGTTTTGGAAAAAAGATTGAAAACAGTCACATTTTGGGATTTGTCCTCAACACTCACTAGCTATGACTTCTTTTTATTAACGCACCTCTGTTGATCTGAGAGTTACATTTTTACAGGCAAGCAGACATCTGACTTGTGCTCCAAAGGGCACAAGTCTGAGAGTCATTAGCGGACTCGCATGTAAGTCAAACATAAATACAGGAGTTGGTCTGACAACTTCATTTGGCAGAGGAAGGAGAGCAGTGTGCCTGCAGCTTTGTTCTAAAGCTTTCACAGTAACACTAACTAGGAGAGTTGTCAGTTTCCCTAGTGTAGATAAGTTGTTCCTTGAAGTCAG